AGGTCTGGAGACTTGCTAGGCCACTCCAGGACCTTAATGTGCTTCTTCTTGAGCCACTCCTTTGATGCCTTGAACGTGTGTTTTGGGTCATTGTCATGCTGGAATACCCATCCATGACCCATTTTCAATGCCCTGGCTGAGGGAAGGAGGTTCTCATCCAAGATTTGACGGTACATGGCCCCGTCAATCGTCCCTTTGATGCGGTGAAGTTGTCCTGTCCCCTTAGCAGAAAAACACCCCCAAAGCATAATGTTTCCACCTCCATGTTTGACCGTGGGGATGGTGTTCTTGGGGTCATAGGCAGCATTCCTCCTCCTCCAAATACGGCGAGTTGAGTTGATGCCAAAGAGCTCCATTTTGGTCTAATATGACCACAACACTTTCACCCAGTTGTCCTCTGAATCATTCAGATGTTCATTGGCAAACTTCAGACGGGCATGCATATGTGCTTTCTTGAGCAGGGTGACCTTGCGGGCGCTGCAGGATTTCAGTCTTTCACGGCGTAGTGTGTTGCCAATTGTTTTCTTGGTGACTATGGTCCCAGCTGCCTCGAGATCATTGACAAGATCCTCCCATGTAATTTTGGGCTGATTCCTCACCGTTCTCATGATCATTGCAACTCCACGAGGTGAGATCTTTCATGGAGCCCCAGGCCGAGGGAGATTGACAGTTATTTTGTGTTTCTTCCATTTTGAGATATAATCGCACCAACTGTTGTCACCTTCTCACCAAGCTGCTTGGCAATGGTCTTGTAGCCCATTCCAGCCTTTTGTAGGTCTACACTCTTGTCCCTGACATCCTTGGAGAGCTCTTTGGTCTTGGCCATGGTGGAGAGTTTGGAATCTGATTGATTGCTTTTGTGGACAGGTGTCTTTTATACAGGTAACAAGCTGAGATTAGGAGCACACTCCCTTTAAGAGTGTGCTCCTAATCTCAGCTCGTTACCTGTATAAAAGACACCTGGGAGCGAGAAATCTTTGTGATTGAGAGGGGGTCAAATACGTATTTCTCTCATTAAAATGCAAATCAATTTATAACATTTTTGACATGCGTTTTTCCGGATTTTGTTGTTATTCTGCCTCTCACTGTTCAAATAAACCTACCATTAAAATTATAGACTGATCTTTTCTTTGTCAGTGGGCAAACGTAAAAAATCAGCAGGGGATCAAATACTTTTTTCCCTCACTGTATGTTAAAATCAGAGTTTACATATCAACAGAGGCATTTAGTATATTGACGCTAAATAACTGCAACTACCCAACTATCATAAAATAAACCGATGTGAAAGAACTAAATATAAACTACATCAATATAATCAATGTACTCAATATATTCTCCAATAATCTGAGCTATTAACATAAAGTAACTGGGTATACACTACACTATATAATGAATACCATATAGTAAACTGATAAAAAACTAAAATATAAACTACGTCAATATTATCAATAAACTCAATATACTCTCCAATCAGCTGAGCTACTAACAATACGTCATTATACATTACAATTCTGTGTCGAAAAAAGTGGCGGTTTATTTTTTCCTCAACGTTAGCACCACGGAAAGCGACGAGCTTTGTTCAGACGGACGAGTCCATCTATGCTCGGAACGGAGGAGGGGGAGAGAGAGAAACAGCCACGATGCGCTGCAATGTCCTGTGTTGCGTTACAACTATGCTATAAACTAGACTACTATACATTACAATATTATACCTTCCAATCTAAACTACATTGTATAATATCGTATACACAGCCCAATGTAAGCTCTAACATTATGCATTATATTGATATGCCTCCAACTAAACTTTTTTCTATATTACACGACTATACACCGTAATATACACTGCCATAGACAAACCCCACCATTGAATTATACAATGCATTACTATACACTACCCTATACTTTAGACTATACAAATATTAGACTTGTAATATTACACTATGTATTATTCTACCAACCCTATTGTATAGTACACTGCTGTATATTCAATATACAATTACGATACTATATATTGCCTTATGAATTATGTTAAACATTACACTGTTATACTATTTAATATTATACAATTTGCTATAAACCATACCATTGACCGTCGTGTGAAAGGTACTAAGAGGCAGTGCCAGCGAATGGACTGCGGTCTGAAAGTCACTGTAAAATACAATTAATCAAGAACCGAAATGGTTTATCACGTCTTTCCAATGATTACTAAGCCAGAATTCATCTTCTCGGTTGAAATTGTCTCTATGTTTGTATATGTGGATGGCCTCATGAACGAATCTCTCATGGTAGCCGGATGGCTTGCAGAGAACCTCCGTCTTGGAGAAGTCAATGTCATGTGAGCCCACTGAATTATAACAGTGATCTGCCACGACTGAGGTGTTCGTCCTACCTTGTTTCAAGTCTGCTTTATGTTCACGGATGCGGTCCGAGACATGTCGTTTGGTTTCTCCAATGGAACTGCTACCACAGAGGCAACTTAGTTTGTAGACGCCCAGGTACTGTATGTCTGGAACCACATCTTTTACAGACGGGACCAGATCACGGATTTTATGTACTGTGTTGAATCGGACCTGGATCTTGTGTTTATTCAAGATTTTGTGACCTCCGCAATGTAGGTGATGGTTTTGAAAGGCTCCTCAAGAGGATCCTTCTTCATGGTTGGAGTGATAGCTTTGCGGATTGTGTAGTCGGAGTAACCATTAGCCTTGAGAGCTTGGTGTACGTGCTTGAGTTCACTGGCAATGTGTTCCTGGTCGGAGATGCATTGGGCTCTATGGTATAGAGTCTTGATGAGGGAATTCTTTATTTCCCTTCTACGTGACTTTACCGAAATAACCAAGAAGATGAATCCCTGCAATGACGAAAGCTTTAAATCGAAACAATAAAATTATCACGACGTTTCGACTGCAACACAAGCAATCATGATCAGGTGTGGTTTTCACACCTGATGATGACACAAGCAATCATCATCAGGTGTGAAAACCACACCTGACGATGATTGCTTGTGTTGCAGTCGAAGCGTCGTGAGAATTTTATTGTTTGATATTTTTTATTATTTTATTGTTTCCCTTCTACGTGACTTTACCGAAAGAACCAAGAATATCTGGAAATTTTAAAAGTATATTTTTTATTTGATTGGTGATGAGATTTTTCACACAAAAAAACCTGTTTAAATCCAAGTCACAAGTGTTAAGCGCATTGTAATTGGTGTAACATACGTAGCGGTTGTGTCAACTACGCTTCGTCTCCCAGTGGCGGCGATGTTCACTCACTTCACCAGATAAACGTGTATTGCCGACTCAGCGGTAAAGACATCGGCTCGGCAAAACACAAAGGTTGTGAGTTCAAATCCTGGTTGGGGATTTACTTGGCTCATGAGTAGCCGTTTTGGGGTCATTGTACTCCTAAATGAGCACAACTTTGTCGGAAAATCAATATTGTTTGTCCTGGGGATAGGCTCGCCGCTGCCATAGGAACGCAGAATTTCAACTCCCGTCTCACGACTGTAAAGAGATGAGCACCTAAAACTCACTTAAGGAAATCGCGCAGACCTCTATTTCGTGACCTGGTGTCTAACTCGGGTCACCAGGATCGTCGCACAGTGATTGACCCACCATGCCACACTTTCCTGGACTGCATGGTTAAGTGGAGTTAGCGGGCCACCACCACCATGGAGGTGCCACACGCCCATAGCAGCGCGTTTTTGAGGTAAGGGTTGGTGGGTCACACAGTTGATCATGTACTGTCAGACTTCAAAACTTGTTGGAGTGAAAGGTGACCACGAAATGGATGAATAGCAAATGGACACTTGAATCGAAGTGTGAAGCCCTTGAGAAGTGGCCCTCACTGACATCTGACAATTGTTTAAATTCTTGAACCAATGAAGGCTTCGCGGGTCTGACTGGAGGACTTTTCTCACAGCTGTGGCCGTGCCTGGATACAGAATCCGTGTCGGAGTCACCTCCCCACGATTCACTCAGTAACGATTCCTTGTCACGATTTAACAAAAAAAACTCCAATCTGTTTGGCTCCATGCGCATGCTATGGTGGGAATGATTGACTCATATGCAATAGATTTTTGACTGCTATGATTCTATTCTATTGACAAGTATGCAGAGTCCACGCTGGTGGCCACAAATATGAGGCTTATTAACCGATTAAACAACACCGCATGTACACGCGTCAACTGCTTTGTCCATCCACTGCTGGCTGAAGTCTGCATGAATGTGGGTTAAGTGAACCTGTTGGCAGGAGCCGGGGGTCCCCCCCGTAAGGTTCAATGATAGATTCTGAAGTGTGCGGTCCCAATCTACTGTCTGACGGTAATAAAGTTGGTAAGCAGACTCTGCACGCTTCTTTCGCATAGATCTGCCCCATAAACACAGTTATGCTTTACACATTCCATCAGCAACACGGCCTTCTTAAGAGCATTATTTCACCAGCTTTGTATCCGTGTCGAGGATGGATGGGATCGATCTGTTTGATGGCTTTGAGCACGGGATTGAGCTGGGGTTGAGCACGGGATTGAGCTGGGGTTGAGCACGGGATTGAGCTGGGGTTGAGCACGGGATTGAGCTGGGATTGAGCTGGGGTTGATCAGGGGATTGAGCTGGAGTTGAGCAGGGGATTGAGCTGGGGTTGAGCTGGGGTTGAGCAGGGGTTGAGCAGGGGTTGAGCAGGGGTTGAGCTGGGGTTGAGCACGGGATTAAGCTGGGGTTGAGCAGGGGTTGAGCAGGGGTTGAGCAGGGGTTGAGCAGGGGATTGAGCTGGGGTTGAGCTAGGGTTGAGCACGGGATTGAGCTGGGGTTGAGCTGGGGTTGAGCTGGGGTTGAGCACGGGATTGAGCTGGGGTTGAGCACGGGATTGAGCTGGGATTGAGCTGGGGTTGAGCACGGGATTGAGCTGGGATTGAGCTGGGGTTGAGCACGGGATTGAGCTGGGGTTGAGCTGGGGTTGAGCACGGGATTGAGCTGGGATTGAGCTGGGGTTGAGCACGGAATCGAAATCGCTTTCTCTACAACAGATTCCTGCTCCGCCGCTCCGTATGAGGAGGAGGGCGAGCCCAGGACGGCTCTTGTCGGGGTCGGACTCGCCAGTCGATTTATATCAACACGCACACAGCGACAACAACAGCAGCAGCAGCGCCAAGGCAGCAACACGACAGAGATACGGGCAGCAGCAGCAGCGGTAGGCGGCAGGCGAGTCCGAGGCGGTGCAGGGAGAGAGGCGGAGGCCGCGCGACTCGTGGGGCCGGGCGGGACGCGGCGAGTCGCGCCTGGGCCCCCTTGAGTGGGGAGCCTCAGGCTCTGCGAGTCGGGGAGCCTCTGGCTCGGAGGAGCCTCAGGCTCTGCGAGTCGGGGAGCCTCAGGCTCTGCGAGTGGAGGAGCCTCAGGCTCTGCGAGTGGAGGAGCCTCTGGCTCGGCGAGTGGAGGAGCCGAGCCATGCCGCTGGGCCTGAAGCCGAGCTGCAGTGCGTGCGGGGTGTGCGCCTCCCCGATGTGGCGTCGCGGCCTCCAGGGCGAGGTTCTGTGCCAGGGCTGCGCCAGCCGCCCCGCGCCGGGGCCCCCCGCGTCTCCAGGGCCCCCCAGAACCAACGGGGGCGGTGGAGGAGGAGGCGGGGGTGGAGGCGGTGGAGGAGGGCGCCAGGTGAGTCGCAGCACAGCGGCGTGCTGGACGTGGGGTGTCTGTACAGTGCCTCGTCTCGACTACAGGGTGTCTGTACAGTGTCTCGACTACAGGGTGTCTGTACAGTGTCTCGACTGCAGGGTGTCTGTACAGTGTCTCGACTACAGGGTGTCTGTACAGTGTCTCGACTACAGGGTGTCTGTACAGTGTCTCGACTACAGGGTGTCTGTACAGTGTCTCGTCTCGACTACAGGGTGTCTGTACAGTGCCTCGTCTGCAGGGTGTCTGTACAGTGTCTCGTCTACAGGGTGTCTGTACAGTGTCTCGTCTGCAGGGTGTCTGTACAGTGTCTTGACTACAGGGTGTCTGTACAGTGTCTCGTCTGCAGGGTGTCTGTACAGTGTCTCGTCTCGACTACAGGGTGTCTGTACAGTGTCTCGTCTGCAGGGTGTCTGTACAGTGCCTCGTCTCGACTACAGGGTGTCTGTACAGTGCCTCGTCTGCAGGGTGTCTGTACAGTGTCTCGTCTCGACTACAGGGTGTCTGTACAGTGTCTCGTCTGCAGGGTGTCTGTACAGTGTCTCGACTGCGGGGTGTCTGTACAGTGTCTCGACTGCGGGGTGTCTGTACAGTGTCTCGTCTGCAGGGTGTCTGTACAGTGTCTCGACTGCGGGGTGTCTGTACAGTGTCTCGACTGCAGGGTGTCTGTACAGTGTCTCGACTGCAGGGTGTCTGTACAGTGTCTCAACTGCGGGGTGTCTGTACAGTGTCTCGACTGCGGGGTGTCTGTACAGTGTCTCGACTGCGGGGTGTCTGTACAGTGTCTCGACTGCGGGGTGTCTGTACAGTGTCTCGACTGCGGGGTGTCTGTAGAGTGTCTCGACTGCGGGGTGTCTGTACAGTGTCTCGACTGAAGGGTGTCTGTACAGTGTCTCGACTGCGGGGTGTCTGTACAGTGTCTCGACTGCAGGGTGTCTGTACAGTGTCTCGACTGCAGGGTGTCTGTACAGTGTCTCGACTGCAGGGTGTCTGTACAGTGTCTCGTCTGCGGGGTGTCTGTACAGTGTCTCGACTGCGGGTTGTCTGTACAGTGTCTCGACTGCAGGGTGTCTGTACAGTGTCTCGACTGCAGGGTGTCTGTACAGTGTCTCGACTGCAGGGTGTCTGTACAGTGTCTCGACTGCAGGGTGTCTGTACAGTGTCTCGACTGCAGGGTGTCTGTACAGTGTCTCGTCTGCGAGGTGTCTGTACAGTGTCTCGACTGCAGGGTGTCTGTACAGTGTCTCGTCTGCGGGGTGTCTGTACAGTGTCTCGACTGCAGGGTGTCTGTACAGTGTCTCGTCTGCGAGGTGTCTGTACAGTGTCTCGACTGCAGGGTGTCTGTACAGTGTCTCGTCTGCGGGGTGTCTGTACAGTGTCTCGACTGCAGGGTGTCTGTACAGTGTCTCGACTGCAGGGTGTCTGTACAGTGTCTCGACTGCAGGGTGTCTGTACAGTGCCTCGTCTCGACTGCAGGGTGTCTGTACAGTGCCTCGTCTCGACTGCAGGGTGTCTGTACAGTGTCTCGACTGCAGGGTGTCTATACAGTGTCTCGACTGCATGGTGTCTGTACAGTGTCTCATCTCGACTGCGGGATGTCTGTGCACTGCCTCGACTGAGGCTGAGTCGACGTAGGGCAGGTCCATAACCGGTTCAGATATTCGTTACTGGTGTTGGCCGTGAGCGGGAATCGAACTGGGGTGGTCGGGTTCATAGTGCAGAGCGCTAACCACTGCACCACCGCTCCCCACTAATGGCAGATGCACACACACTGTGTTGTTGCTGTTGTTGGTTGATGTGTCTGCAGGGAAGAGCGGAGACTCATCGGCGCTCGGCTCGTCTCAGGAACACGAAGGCCAAGTCGCAGCCAGTGGCCGAGAAAAAGGTGTTTGCCAAGGGCAAGGGCAGACGCCACATCTTCAAACTCAAGCATGTACGCGCCCTTGCCGTGTCTGCTCCATCCCCCGTGCTCTGCAGACAACGCCGTTCGTCCATGCGGTGTTTTGTACAGACTCCTTCATCTTGAGTAAAATAAATAATTGAGTTTGTCATTTTGAAAACCTCTAGATTTAAAGCTTTCGTGACTGCAAGGATCCATACTCTTTGGTTCTATTGGGTAAAGTCACGTAGGTAAAAAAATAAAATAACAAAAATCACGACGTTTCGGCCACAACACAAGCGGCCTTCATCAGGTGAAGGGACGAGACTGTCTGGAGGGCAGCACTGGAGTGAAAAAAAGCCAGGCTCAGATCACGACCAAAGGTCCAAAGGTCGTGATCTGAGTGTGGCTTTTTTTCACTCCAGCGCTGTCCTCCAGACAGTCTCGTCCCTTCACCTGATGAAGGCCGCTTGTGTTGTGGCCGAAACGTCGTGATTTTTGTTATTTTATTTTTTTACCTACGTGACTTTACTCAATAGAACCAAAGAGTATTTTGAAAACTGACGCAAATTTGTTTAAGCTCATCGTCCCATCATCCGGAAAGCGGTCGCATTTTTAAATAAAACACGGATGGTCTGACTACCACCTCCTTTCACCTATCCTTGCACATCATTGTAACATCACGTTTGTGATATTATGTCACTGGTAATAAACTTTTATTAAACACAGGTGAGGTGACATTGAGAAAGAATCTGGTATGACAATTGTTCTGCTCTGGCCTTGTGAAATCATTTGCTCAACTGTGTGATCAACCTATGACATTTTTACACGTTTCGCTATGAACTCTCATTGATATTCTATGCAGAATGATCTCACTTCTCAAGTCATTGTACATCAAGCTAAAGTTTTGACAAATGTATATTAATGTTTTTAGAGTATTTTTATAACCACATTTTTCCTTAAAAATATATATATATTTTTAAGCTCAATGGACCGCGTTTCCCGAACTGCTGTGGAGTGGAGAAGTGATTGCTCCTCCGCCACGTGTCTCACTGCAGAGAGCGCGAGCAATAACTTTAAACAATGAGAGTGGTACAGAGTGTTTGACTTGTGACTTCACTTTGTTTCAGCCTCTGCGTGCATCGGAAGCCGTGTCCACCGTTGTCACAAGCGATTCTATTTTTCATGAGGTAAGATTAAACACCGAGAGATTATGGTTGAATATTTTCTTGCTCTTGGGTTTTCCAGGCGCTTGGGGATGTACAATTAAACACTTAAAGATCCTCTTGTATTGATTGGTGGGTGCGGGGAGTGGGTTTCAAACCAAATTTTTACATATTCTCTGAGTGAGAAACTTATCCAACATGAAAGTGCGTACGTGCTGGAATCAAGAGTACTAATAAATATACGTAAATGGCGATTTCTAGACGTTAAAAGGTGCCATCTTTTGCTGTTTAGAATAATAACATGGCCCCAATATTTACTAGATTGAGTAATTGGTCTAAAACATGACCATGTGCGTTATCAAGCATAGCCTAAGGCCTTGAACAGTAGTTGGTCGCAACCTGTCCAGAGGAGAATTGTAGAAGATAAGTGACTTGAACCGCCATGACAGAGCAATCCCTTCCTCGCCCTCCGTGCCGCAGGGAGTTTACTACCAAGTTGGAGACGTGGTCTCTGTGCTGGATGAAGACGGAAGCCTCTACTATGCGCAGCTTCGCGGCTTCCTGCAGGACCAGTACTGCGAGAAGAGCGCCGTCATCACGTGGCTGCTGCCCACGCAGGAAAGCCCACGGGGCTGCTTCGACCCTGCAACCTACATCCTGGGTGAGAGCGCCACGCGCACCACGCTTGCCCGCCCGCCCGCCCCGATCATCGCTGCTCTGTGGAGATCACAGAAAGTCACAATAAGACACAAACAAACGTCTTCCGAAAGAGTAAAGGCAGAATATCCTCGGTTTTGATCTTCCGCGAAGCTTATGGGCAACCCACAACCGCATCCACACAAACCAAGGCAGCAGATGCGGATACTTGATGCACACATGGGAAATTAAATACTCTCCGGTGTGCGACTGTGGTCACCCAGAACACATTGTTGAAAATATAACGTTTTGTTTCCTGATTCACAAATACGAAGGAGGCATCACAGCAATACACCACTCTACTGCTCCTGACACAATTATTTGGCTGAACCACAGTGTAAAATTCCAGTTGTTGCTTTACAACAACATCATCCGTATCAAGAAAAAGAAGCTGCTCTGTGAAACACCTCTGCGATTAGACAAATCACAAATACACAATCACACCGTAGAATACAAATGTCAACATATTTGCAGAGAGTCTCTTTGGGGTTTTCACCATCGGTGTGGATTGCTGCTCTTCATGTTGCGTGGCTATCACCTTGTGCAGCTGTAAGGTCCAATCGTGGATGGCTGCTGATAAACGTTTGAGCGAAGTGCAGTTTTCACCGATGCTCCTCTCCCGTGCGTGCGTCAACGTTGAACCCTGGCGGTGTCCGTGCAGCGTCTCGTGAGTCACGCATCAAAGCGCTCCGTTATCCGAAACGATGTTTTGAAGTTGTGTTCACAGCTCAAGGGACACAATCAAGTTGTGTATCTGCAGCACAGCGGCACGCGAGTCGTTTGTGTCGTGCCTGTGCATCGTTAATATTCCAGAGCAAGCGACATTGGTGGGAATAAACCTGATGCTCGTGTGAGCCTGAAGTGCATGCTAGGTAACTGCTGGGCTATCCCAACATTGTCCAGGGTATTCTAACCGTGAGTTGTAAAGTTTTACGATGTTGCATATTAACTGGCATTATAATCATGACAATAAGCATTTTAAATAATATATTCATAGACTATAAAATAACGTTAAATAATTCATGTAACCTGTTGAGTCTTCTCTCTTGCTCATCCCATTCATCTTTCTCTTGCTCGGGCCCTTCCCTTCACACCCCACAAACTCTCCCCTCTATTGCTAGGCCTCACTGCTCATTTAATTGTGTGGTTTTGCAATGTGCCTACAAGAGTGTTTGTGAGATTGGTATCATATTGAAATCTCATATACACATGTCCAAACGATTTTTCATAATAAAGGTTCTTGGGTTAGATCGCGTTTATTTATAAATGTGTCGTAACCCTCCACCACCCGACACGGCCAATCAGCAAAAAAAGTGTCACGTTGACAAAGACAAATAATTCACTACTTCAGCCCACCGGTGTGTTGAAGAGTTAATCCACATTTACAGTTTGAGTACGACGTTTCGCTGGTAAATACTTCCAGCATCATCGGGCAATTCGCCAGAATGGTAAAGCCCTCACTTGCTCCCGGTTTTATATAGGGCAGCAGGGTGACGTCATCACTTAACTCATCAGGTGCAGTGATTAGAGGCGGAGGGGGGGGGGTGTAATGTAATTATATAATCGATTAGTAATCAGTCATTGGTTATGATTAGTAATGAGTTGTAGATTAGTAATTCTTTAAATCAAAGTGTAATGTGTATTATTTAATAATACGCTTCCAGGCCGCACTAAGCGATTTTTGTTAATCTACTGCTGGGTCATGGCCTCCCCATGCTTTGCAGCCCATGAGGGATCATTTAACCATACTTCACCCCGCTGGTCAGTGCGGGTTGGTGAAGGTGTGTTGGCTGCGCTGCCCTGTGCAGCTCACGACGCCTACTGCACCTGTCAAGTACGCACGGTGGCCACCCATCCTTGCACTATCCAGGCTCAATTCTGCTTCAGAGATCCGTGGGGACTGGTGGTCTTCCATTTGATTTGATCACAGGGTATCGCAGCATAGTCGTACACAATTTGTGCGTTTTTAAAATGATCGTCGTGTGAATTACAACTCGTGCACTCGCCATCTCCCATCAGGGCCGGAGGAGGAGCTGCCGAGGAAGATGGAGTACTTTGAGTTTGTGTGCCATGCGCCCTCCGAGTACTTCAAGTGCGTGTCGTCTCCATTCCCCACGGTGCCCATCCGCCCGGAGAGGGGCTTCGTGTGGACCAACCTGGGTGTGGTGCCCAGCAACGCTGCCGGCTCGGCCAAGTGACTCCCTGCCTGCAGAGTCAACGTGAACTCTCCTCCAGCCTGGCCACTGGACATTTTTGCTGATTTCGAATGATTGGCAGGACTGTATTGGCAGTGGTGCACACATATGTAAAAAAAGAAAAACCTCCGTTATTCACACTGGTTTTATGAGAGAAATGTATGTTTGTATGTTGAACTTCTTTTACACCGTACATAGCCAACTGTGCTAATCGGAGGTGCGAAATGTATACTGTGCTACTGCCTGGATTCTCGCGGTTGTGCCATGTGGGTCTCCAATGCGTTTTTGGGTCGTACCGCGTGCCGTTTGGAACGATGTCTGACGGTTCGCTCCACATGCTGGGAGCTCGTTCAGGAACTGAAGAAACAAACATTCTGCCAACTTGGTACAACCAAAAAATACGTCAAAGAGCTGTACTTATTGTGGGCTACGATATTGGGAAGTGACTCCTTCAAATACTTGTGCCCTCTGCTCTGGAAAAGGGCCTTTGTTTGGCGTGATAGCACCGATTCATGTTATTTTGTACAGTAGTGTTATTGATGAGTTACATATATATGATGCACATATACTGGTCATTGGATTCTTAATGTTGTACATGTAATGAGAATAGTAATTTGTTTAATAGAGTGCCCTTTCCCCAGGGCATCTCGGAGTGATTAACACGCGATGAGTGTACTTACATCACGTTTCATCTCAAGTATTTGAAAGGGCATCCCCAGTGGCAGCTGTCCCTGTGGGTTCAAGGTGATTCAGCACCTGGCCTGCAATTAGAATATACTCTGAAGATTGTTGTTATCCCAATTAAGTAATTTGCAGGTAATTTTCAGAATTTTGTAAATTTGCACCACGATGTCAATGACCTGCTCATATCGAATAACGTCCACTGTGAATAAGACAACACGCATTTTTCATATTCTTAGCTCTTTCGGTAAAGTCACGTTGAAGGGAAACAATAAAATAATAAAATATATATAAAACAATAAAAATTCTCACGACGTTTCGCGACCATAACACAAACGGTCGTCATCAGCCGTTGTTTTTTTCACACCTGATGACCGTTTGTGTTATGGTCGAAACGTCGTGAGAATTTTTATTGTTTTATATATATTATTATTATTTTATTGTTTCCCTTCAACGGGACTTTACCAAAAGAGCTAAGAATATAAATTACTGCAGTCACGAAAGCTTTAAATCAAAACAACACGCATTGTATGCTTGATAAACCATAGTAATTACTAGGGCTGCTGCTGGGTTCTTACTGCGAACCTCTGGAACAAGTGGCACAACCTCTGGGCCACCATACTCCACCCTGCATACCTTGGGCACAACAGATGTGAAGGTGTCACAAAAACAAATATGCTCTTGTAATCTGAAAACTCGACATCCATCAGACTCTTGGCTTTCCAGCTCAATATTATGAAGCAGAATTTGTTAAAGCAAGAAACCTCTGGGCCGGCTTCAACCTGGGTGTCATCAGCAGTCGATCTTGTTGGAAACGCATGCTGCTAGATTACCAGATGTTTTGGGTAAGAGCACTCTGGCTTGAGCAAGGGAGTGGTGCAGATGAATCGCTGAGTGCACCGCAGTGTTTGTAGAGAACATGGGGTGAAGATAAGGCACAGCTGTGGGTTGTTTTGTGTTGATAAAGAATTGCGTAATAAAGTGATGTTTGTGGAAACGAATCCTGTTTAACCGATGTACAATGCAGTGCAACTGATATATTTTACACAATAGTATTGTGGATAAAAACTTTTGGTATGCCTTGTGTGCTTGCAGTGAAGTGATACATAAAGTTTTATTTGGTGCTCGTATTGCAGATTCATCTTAGCGTGCTGCAATAAACTGGTGCGAAGAGTGCTGCGTTTTCCGTGTTCTTAACAGCTGGGTCGCAGCGGTGCTGTGGATCCGGCAACGAGAGATCTGACAATGAGAGCTGCCCTCCGCTCACTTTGACAGAACTGGGCAGCATGCGCAGTGCTGGTGGCGAGCGGCGGAGTGGATTAAAAGGATGGGGGTTGTGGAGGTGGTAGTTTATGCAATGCGGCAGTTTGGTTCCATCCCAGCTGACTGGAGAAGGCCCTTGTGGCTCTTATAATAACATGAAGAATGGGAACGAACGTGACTGAGACACGGGGCCAAGCTCGGTAACACTTAAAAGCCAGGCGGTCGAGGTTGGGGCTTTAAGTGTCTCTTAAAAGTTGGTGTATATTGAATGCTGCTGTGAATGAGGCGGGATGGAATTCCAGCCGGAAGGGGCCTGCCACAGAGGATCGACGCCTGGCGGTGAGGGGACTCGTCTGTGGCATAGCGAGGCTAAGAGTCGCTCTGCGGGGAGTTCTGCCGTGTGCTGTCGTGCAAGGAGGTGGGAGCGGTGATCTCACGAAATAAAGTTCGCAATACAATGTTGGTAGTGAAAGCATACGTATAAACCCAGAATTATTCACAATCTCATCACATTCTTGGTTCTTTCGGTAAAGCCAAGTAGAAGGGAAACAATGAAATAATACAAATATTAAACAATAAAAATCTCACGACGTTTCGACTGCAACACGAGCAATCATCATCAGGTGTGAAAACCACAGCAAGAAAATTTTACAAAATGGCGTTTTTTTAATGTTAGCACCACGGAGAGCGATTTGACAGTTTATTCAGATGTACGAGTCCATCTATGTTCGGAAAAGAGGAGGGGGGAGACGAAAATAATGGATGTGGTCTGAAAGCCACAGTAAGCGTGAACAATCAATTAAGACTCGACATGGTTTATCAAATCCTTCCAATGACTGCGAAGCCAGAATCTCGGTTGAAAATGTCTCTGTGCTTGTATATGTGGATAGCCTCATGAACGAATCTCTAATGGTAGCCAGATGGCTTGCAGAGAACCTCTGTCTTGGAGAAGTCAATGTCATGTGAGCCTACTGAATTTTAACAGCGATCTGCCACGGCCGAGGTGTTGGTCCTACCGTGTTTTAGGTCTGCTTTGTGTTCACGAATGCGGTCTGCGACATGTCGTTTGGTTTCTCCAATGTAACTACTACCACAGAGGTAACTTAGTTTGTAGACGCCAGGGTACTGTATGTCCGCAATCACAACTTTTACAGACGGAACCAGATCACGGATTTTATGTAATGTGTTGAATCGGACCTGGATCTTGTGTTTATTTAAGATTTTGGAGATCTTTTTTGTGATACCCGCAATGTAGGGTAAAGTGATTTTTTTGAAAGGCTCCTCAAGAGGGTCCTTCTTCATGGTTGGAGTGATAGCTTTGCGGATTGTGTAGTCGGAGTAACCATTAGCCTTAAGAGCTCGGTGTACGTGCTTGAGTTCACTGGCTATGTGTTCCTGGTCGGATATGCATTGGGCTCTATGGTGCAGAGTCTTGATGAGGGAATTCTTCTGGGATGGATGGTGGTGGGAATCCGGTTTCAGATAAGCATCTGTATGGGTAGCTTTCCTGTAGACAGAGTGGCTCATTGAACCATCAGGTCTCTTTTTTATGAGGACATCCAAAAAAGGTAGCTTGCCATCTTTTTCGACTTCAATGGTAAATCTGATGGCTGGGTGTATGGAATTGATGTGGTCAAGGAATTGGTCTAGAGCAGGCCGGCCATGTGGCCAGATGACAAAAGTGTCATCCACGTACCTCTTCCATAAGGTTGGGCACAGAGTGGCAGTCTCGATGGCGTCCGTCTCAAATTACTCCATGAAAATGTTGGCTACAACCGGAGATAGGGGGGAGCCCATTGGCGTGCCCTCTGTTTGTAGAAAGTTCCATTCCAAGTGAAGTATGTATTGGTTTAGCAGTGTCTCACCAGGGGGGGTACCTCAGTGTTTAGTCCTTGATGAACCAAGTCTTCAATGATTGCGATGGTGTCAGGTACAGGAACTTTGGTGAATAAGGAAACTACATCAAAACTGACAAGCAGGTCGTCTGGGGACAGGGAAATACCCGTGATTGTCGATACCAGGTGAGTAGAATTTTGTACCGTAGAGGTGGTTTTTCCAGTGAAAGGCCGCAGGATTTCAGACAAAAAACGAGCCAGTTTGAAGGTGGGGGAGTTGACAGTAGAGACGATGGGACGAGGGGTGTATCTACTTTATGTATTTTTGCTAAGCCGTATAATCTTGGTGGCCTGGCAGCAGAAGGTTTCAACGTGAACTGTTTGGTTTGATCAATTAATGCGGTTGAATCAGAAATGATTTTGTTGGTTTGTATGACGAGGCTGTTGGTGGGATCTCTTTTTATTTTTGTATAGCTACCATCGTTGAGTAATTCTTGAATTTTGTTGTTATATTCTATTTTATCCATGATGACAGTGGCATTGCCCTTGTCGGCTGAGAGGATGACAATGTCATTCCTCTTTTTTAATTTATATAATTCAAAACGTTCATCTTTGCTGAGGTTGCTAGCTGGCATCTTAGCGTTTTTGAGGGTTGCAGCGATTTCAGATCTTGCTACGTCTGCACTTTTTTCAAATTTTCGTGCTGTGGTTTTCACACCTGATGATGATTGCTTGTGTTGCAGTCGAAACGTCGTGAGAATTTTATTGTTTTATATTTTTATTATTTTATTGTTTCCCTTCTAAGTGACTTTACCGAAAGAACCAAGAATATGAATCCCTGCAGTCACGAAAGCTTTAAATCAAAATTTAATCTCATCACAATTGAAATCAATATTTGCAGTTCATTCGTAAATATATTGGTAGAATTGCTTTAGCACGAGGAGGTTAATAAACCCTGATTAGTACTACCCACAGTAAATAATGTCCCATAATAATGTTCCACACAAGTATCAATGTCAAACGCCTAAATAGATCATTATGATACCATAATCGCCCGATGACCATGCATTAGCGCATCACGAATAACAAATCGGCAACTTATTTACATTGTCTGATTTTCATCACATCATGTGTAAAAATAGGTGTTATGTATACTCGTTGGTTCTTTGGGTAAAGTCACGTAGATAGGTTCAAAGAAAATTACAAAAATAACAAAACTACGTTTCGATCGCAACAAAAGCGGTTGTCATCAGGCTGAAACGTCGTTTTTGAAATTTTCTTTGAACCTATCTACGTGACTTTACCGAAAGACTCAAAAAAATAATGGTTTATGCTCTAAACTTGCAATTATGGAATATGTCTAAACATAAAAAAAAATTAACAATGGAAATAAGGTAAATTTAGAGACATTGACAGATTTGTTGATTTTCTTCGAGTACAGTCGCGAACGATGGGGTGCGCGCCGCGCCTCTCTGCGTGTGGGCTGTGCCGACTTCATCGCTGGAAAATGGTGAGGATGAAGAGGAAAATGCTGACGATGTCGATGTAGAGGTTGAGTGCCGCGAAGATGTACTCCTCGGGATTCAGGCTGTAGCGGTGTTTCCCTCCCATCATGAGCTGCGTGTCGATCACGAGGTACTGCGCCACACGCAGGAGAAGCGTCACTCACCACGGTCCTCTTCCGACAAAGATCCCCCGTGTAGCCTTAACAGACTGTAGGGGCACCTATGAAGGCCGGCACGGCACACGAGGGGGTGGGTGGCCAGCACCACGCCTGGCCGCCTTTGTCTCACGAGTGGCGATGTTTACCCATCGCACTGGGTACTCATTTGAGGACTAGGGGAGAGGCCCAGGACAGCTTCAGATAATTGTCACTGGTGATGGCCGTGATCGGGAATCGAACTCTCGTGGCTGGACTCGTAGTGCACTACCGCAGCTCCCCACGCATACTCGGCCACTCACACCGATAGAGCGACAGGGCAGCCGTGCCATCCACGTCGCATGGACACAGACAGAGGCTGTACAAGTATAGTACAGCGGGATGCCTCTTAGCGATATCAGGAACATGACTCGTCTTGTTTTTGGATTATTAACCACGAGGAGCGCAGACAATGCGATGTGTTTGTGACGTGAATATTATCATCGAATGGAAAATAGATTCCTTCACCAAAACCGCACGGCGCGTTTACAAAAGGCGAGGGAACTCCGCAGTTGCGTGAAGAAGCAAAACCAACGTGGGTTGCACAATTGGGTGGTTTTTTTTGCTCACAGCTGTTGGATTTTATGAAAATAAATTCTTTAAAAAAATATTTACTTTGCAAATACTCTCAACGACTGTACTTACGACTGCAAAGACGAGAGCCCCAAGTGTGGCATAAGCGATGTTGGCCCACTGAAAGAAAGCACACGAACCATACGGTAATCACTGCGGGAATGTGGAATAGTTAAAGAATGACCACACGGATATCATACGATGGACGTTGGAGCATTGGATACCACTTTATTCAAATAAGCAGCGCGTGAAAGATTCAGTGAACACAGGGACAGCGCGTGAAGCAGTGTCAGGTGACGTGTCGAGAGAGAACGCTTTTTCAGCCACCCCCATCACCCCACGGTGCTCCCCTTCTACTCACGTCGCTTCGTAGAATGGCGCACATCAATCCAAACGACAGCAGCGCCATGAGAAACACGAACATTATCCCGGACTTCATCGTGAAATCAATCTGCAAATGACAGCCACAAAACAGTGACAGAGGTTACATCCTGGGCGCGATGCGCAGCGAGCGTTTCATGGTGCGGTCTGCAAGCTGCACGCTGCAGTTCGCAAGGGCGCAGAAGTTTGTGGCAGGAAATATCGCTCGTGGATATCTCTTTTGAGAAGACTGGGGTTCGGTGATTGCGCAACATCGTGTAATAACCAGGAATACGTGGATCAACAGTCCACCAGGACATGATCCGGGTATCTATCACGTCCATGGAATGTGGACCTCATCGGATAAAGATCTCGGATGAGATTACGAGAGAAATCAGTTTGAGCATTTTCACATCCCTGATGATCCTGCAACCACCTTGTATTCGCAGGTTTAATTTAAATTTAAAGCTTTCGTGACTGCAAGGATTAATCTTCTTTGGTTCTTTCGGTAAAGTCATGTAGAATGAGAATAAAATAATAAATTGATAAAATAAAATAACACAATAAAATTCTCACGACGTTTCTCATTCTACGTGACTTTACCGAAAGAACCAAAGAAGGTTGAATTTTATATATTTTTAAATGCAAACCGACACACCTGATGACGACCGTTTGTGTTATGGTCGAAACGTCATGAGAATTTTTATTGTTTTATATATATTATTATTTTATTGTTTCCCTTCAACGTGACTTTACCGAAAGAGCTAAGAATATGAATTACTGCAGTCACGAAAGCTTTAAATCAAAAAATAAAACACCCTCAAACCCACTACCTCCCACAAGCACCAAGCAGCTGGAGGTCGTAAAAGGCCACTAAAAAATAAACTCCGGGGCAAAGGTAGGTTAACGACGATCTGCAAAATCTCCAGATTGCCAAAGGACCACATACCATGACCTGCTTGGCACAAAAGACAGTTCACAAACAAATTTCCAGAATCACAGGCACAGACACAGAGCACAGGGCAAACGGACATTATAACTGATATTTTTTTTGTATGGAAAAAGTTAAAGCTTGGCTATAAGAATAAGTCGACATGATCAACTGCAGTCTATATTAGTGGCTTTATTATTACTTATATTATTTCACCCTTATTCAACTCATATATTGTTTCTTATTGTATATTTATATCTATGTAACTTCACCAAGAGAACCAAGGAATGTGGATTCTGGCAGTCAAGAAAGTGAGGGCTTGGTTATATCTCCAGCCTCGAGATATCTCTGACCTCGAGAATAAAAAGCACGAATCCCTGGATGCAGACAGGGAGCAAAAGTTAATAAAACCCTTGAAATACCGGAGGTAACATCTAATGGTACATTACAAATCTTGGTTAAACATAAACCAAATAATAATCACAAGAGATTAGACCTGGGGTAATTCATTAGAGGTGCCAGTGAAAAGGGTAAAACCTATTACTATATCTTGTTACTGGCAAAGGAGGTCTCATAATGGTAAATGCTCACCCCGAGCCCTCAATACTCTGATAGTGCGCTGTTTTTGAGTTGTACGCCTTTTGGCGTCTTCTGGTCCAACACCAGTGGAGACTAGGCTCTAAGAAAAGCCGTCTCGGGTGTGGACCAATCAAGTTCAAGGACAGTGCATATTATTATCAGAGTTGTCTCTTTTCTTTGTATTTTCACTGCTTGTGTTGTGGTTATTGCAAACATGATGCCTTGAATAAAGGTGTCAGTTTTTGTGCCAGTTAAAAGGGTAAAACCTATTACAACACACAAGACCAGATTAATGTATTCCATGAAATCAGAGCCTCCCCGGCCGCCTTTGTCTTCCAACAATTTGACACAAACACATGGTAGCCATAAATACGCATGAAGGGAGAGTGCCTCCCCTCCCTAATAGGAGAAACCACGAAGAGAGGGGTTGGGAATGCAAACAAACAAAATGTGATGGTAAAACAGCCAAAGGTCAAAGGTCAAAAAGGGGGGTGGGGGGCAGCCAGGTCAGAGGACGGTGACAGAGTGCGTCTGCTTTGTTTTCTCTCTCGCAAGAGACGCGGAGAGAGGAGAGAGAATTTCACTTTTAAGCTCGGCAAGGGACAGCGAGACAGCAGCTCGGAAGAGGACAGCAAGCCAGCTCCTCGAGACATTAGCAATGGGTGCTGTGTCTCGCAGAGAAGAGGGGCGAGGTGATGTTAGGTGCTGAGTTCGGCATGGACTGACAGAGTATCGCTGGAAGTTTATTCTACATTCATCCTGATGTTTTGAGTCACTTGCAGAATCGAGGATTGCGATGAGCTGTATCGTACTAAGCTATCAGAGTTGTGTAAGAGGTGTGCAAATAGAATTTCCAAGTTTTGAGAGTGAGTGATCCAGCCAGCGACGAGCAGCTCACAGCAAGAGCCCTCCTGGAAGAAGGGTGAAGAGCTGCACGCGCAATCGAGCGTCGCCAGAGAGAGAGAGACGGAGCAAGAGAGAGCGTGCGGCAGCGCCACCAGCGCCACCAAGTGAAGGGTGCCAGCTGCCGGCGGACAAGCGTTGTGCCGACTCAGCTCATCCAGCAGGGGAAAGAGCCTGACCGGCCGCCCGTGAGCAAGAGCGTCCGCGCCAGCGAGCGCGCCGTGGGTTCGACCCACACGCACGCCGAGCAGCACCAGCTGGAACCCAGACAAGAGTGAGGAACTGCAGCCAGCGGACGAGCTGCGGGCGCTATCTGACGACGGGATCATCGCGCGACGACGGCGAGCGTCGTGCAGACTCTTCCAGCCAGCTGTGGACAGAAACTGTGGCCGCCCGTGTGAAAGAAGGAGTGTCAAGCTGCCCGTATGATACACTCAACACCCTCACACCCTCACCGCTCCGCAGGGAACAAACACATTTTTCCATGAAGGGATGCCCAACCGCGGCGTCTGCATAACGCAAAGAATTAACGCAAGAAGACCAACAGCACTCACACATTAACACATACAAGAAGACTCATGATAAGTGTGTTAAATATCAACTGATCGTGAAGAACATTGCTGCCCATTGAGTTACGTGGATACGTCATTTAGAAGTATTTTAGTCGTTCGTTTTTTTTCTTTTTAATTGCATAATCTTACCAATGAATTAATTGATAACTACTCCACTTCGGGACATGTTTCTTTATTGCCCTTCGTATGAATATCGTTGCATGAATTTTTAAGGACTTTTCCTCTCGCCGTGTATGCTCGCTTACTCTGAGGAATAATCGATTGTTCTGTTGCCCAGTCAACAAACGTGACCATTGAGGGTTAAATGTATGGATCAATGAGGAGGACATCTCCAGGAGTACTGTGTTGACAATTCCAAGCATAAGAGTTCGCATATTAGACTGTTAAGGTTTTGTTTAGAAATTAAAATTGCTTAACACAGAAGTGTCTGAGTGGTGCCTTCCTAAGTTCATGCGTAATAATCTTAATTATAAGAACTGTATCCTGCGGTGAGATTTGAATTTGGAGACCTGATATAAACACACTAATACATAATCAGTAAATGTTAAAGCGAGAATAATTGTATTATACCGATTGATAATACAACCCTAGACAACGAAGCCGAGCTTAATCTAGCATACTTACTGGACACCTGCATAACTTCATACAATTAATTGTCTTATCCAGATTGATAATACTCCCCTCGACAACGAGGTTGAGCCTAATGATTATAACTGCGTACATTGGCATAATCGCATACATTCACATAAATTACTACGATTATATCTCGAATTAGCGCATAATTACATCAATTAACATAATTCAGATAATTACGAATTTTTCATACCCGGCATATACTACAGGAGTGAGTGGTGGTCACACAGGGGAGTGAGTGGTGGTCACACAGGGGAGTGAGTGGTGATCACACAGGGGAGTGAGTGGTGGTCACACAGGGGAGTGGTGGTGGTCACACAGGGGAGTGAGTGGTGGTCACACAGGGGAGTGAGTGGTGGTCACACAGGGGAGTGAGTGGTGGTCACACAGGGGAGTGAGTGGTGGTCAGTGTCAGCCCTTGCCTTGGTCTGGAAGCTGAAGATGGTGAGGCCCAGGGAGATAAAGGCGGTGATGCCCGCTGCCCACATCACCGAGTTGGCCGAGTAGTAGCTGCCCCAGGGAGAAACACAGAACCCACCGTGGCAGTCCTTCACCGAGCACAGCAACACCGCTCTCGGGGGGCAGAGCGAGATGAGCCGAAAATTGACAATTGCCCCATTTGGTATCGCCTTGGAGGAATGTGCGGTGTCGTACGCGCGTGACTGCTGCGTGGAGTCGTGGCCGTCACTAGGAAGAGGTTGCATGCCTTGTGGTGGGGCAGCAGCTGAAGCCCAACCGAGGCTGCAGAAGATGATGCTCAATAGCAGTTTCATGATCAAATGTAGCGTGGTGTCTTGGGGACGATATTCCAACATGATATGATGCTGCTCCTTTAGCATACCTGCCAACCCCTTATCAGTGCCTACCTTATTACAGTCCCACTCAGACCCTATTGGTCACCCCGTGCCCGTAAAAGTCTCAAAAATACGGCATGCAAAAAATGCCTACTTTTCCTCCACTCTCCTGGAATCACATGGAAATGCCAGGATTTTTTGGAAAACAATCAAATCTATCGAAAAGGCATCCAAAACAGACAATCTGCCCGTTGAGCTAAACCGAAATAGGGAATATATTTCAGATCCCAAAAAAATAGTTGACAATTTTAACCTTCATTTATCTGAAGCTGGTAATCTTTTTGATAATGTATTGGGAGTCACCCCTGCTCATGCAAATTCCTACACCCCTGTCCAAACATTAAACGAATTTATTTTCCAGCCAATCCACGAAAGTAATGTTCTGAAACAACTGTCCTACCTCAAAGGGTCCTCCTCTACCGGAGCAGATAGTTTTCCCGTCTTTGCTCTACTAACTGTTGGTCACCTAATATACAAACCTATAGCCCATACTTTCAACCTGTCCATCAAAGAAGCATCAGTTCCTCTAGAATGGAAACATTATTATGTCCGTCCACTTCACAAAGGGGGCCCTATAGATGATCCCAATAACTATCGACCTATCTCAATTTTGCCCCCATTGATGAAAATTTTTGAAAAATTATTGAACTACCAAATTAGCAGTTTCCTGTCCACCAACAATCTACTACATCGAAAACAATCTGGGTTCCGAAAAAAATACAGCACCACATATGCTGCATTAGACTCTCTGAATCAAATTTACAGTAGCCTTGATACTGTGCCTGTCTTTTTCTTAACCTGTCCAAAGCTTTTGATACAGTAGACCACAACACCCTGCTTGGTAAACTAAGTTGCCTCGGTTTTTCCGAAAACACAGTAAAATGGTTAAAAAATTACCTCTTTTATCGCACCCAAACTGTATTCACAGATGGTTGGAGGTCAAACAGTGTTAAGATAACAAAAGGGGTTCCACAGGGTTCCATCCTCGGCCCCCTTTTGTTCTCTCTTTATGTCAATGACTTGGGCACTGACCTGGATCATTCCAGGGTAAATCTTTTTGCAGATGACACGATACTGATTACTGCTGGCCGCTCTCCGGATGACGTGATTGCTAAGCTCCAGGGTGATTTCAACAAACTACAACATCAGCTAGTTGCTCTTAAACTAGTCCTGAATACCTCCAAAACCAAGGTGCTATGCTTCTCACCGGGACTAATGCAGGAAGTTATTTTTCCCCAATTACATACCTTACATAATTATCAAGTAGAGCAAGTCAAGATCTATAAGTATCTTGGGGTCATCCTGGATTCAAAACTGAATTTTGAAGATCACACTGATTATATTGGTAAAAAGACATAAATAAAAATTGGTTTTCTGTATTGACACAAGCACTGCTTCCCCCCTATGTTCCGTTTGGAATTGATAAAAGCTACCATACTGCCTCTACTTGACTCCTGTGACATCGTGTATAAATCAGCCCCAAGTACTGTACTGAAGAAGCTTGATTCCATCTATCACTCGGCCTTAAGATTTACATTGAACTGCCCATATAGGACTCACCACTGTGATCTCTGCATTGGGTCAAACTTAACATCTCTTAATGTTTGACGGCTTGTGCACCAGATCTTATTTATTCACGATGTACTTACAACAAAATCCGCAGACTACCTGCTGGATCTCCTCTCTGTTTCAAAGAACAAATTTGACCTCAGGTCTTCGCTCATTTACCAGCTTCACATTCCCTATTGCTGCACAAAAAACGGAGGAAGGGCCTTTGCTATTGATGCCCCCAGGATCTGGAATGCTATTGCCAATAAACTGCAACTTGAATCGCTACCAATGAGATCTTCTCTCAAAACTGCTCTAGAGGAGTTGTACACCCCTAGCTGCCACTGCTATTCATTGGCGTAAAATAAAATAAAATGTTTCGCTCCGGATGACGCTGCAAAGTATTATCTGTATTTTGATTTAGCGTGCTGATCTTAAAGGTGCATTGAAAAATTTGATAATCCGACTGATGCTTCTGTTGTTGTGGAGTAACTCATGCAGCGAGCTATGGCTCTAGGATTTGGTGTTACATGTTATTTATGTAGTTTATTGTAAAAATTCGGTCACAGTCCCTGAGATCACTGTTACGTTCAATGATGTCTTTATTTTTTGGTGATTTCGAAAACGTATTTTGGTTTGGAAATGCTTGTTTTGTTGTAGTACGGAGTTAAACTGATGGCCTTAATCTAAGTTTTCTTGTGGTTGTTGTGGTTGTTGTTGTTGTTGTTTGACTTGCATCCCACTGGGATTTTTGCACACAGCGTTGGTGTACGGTGCTTTTTTCAGGAATATTTTGCTGTTTTTTTCATGTATTTTCTGTTTGCACAGTCACATAGTCACTTTAAGATGTTTTCTTGTTCGTGTTTTTGTTTGTTGTGGTTGCACCCGATTCAAGAGCCGAATGGCTCACAGGGCTCTACCAAAATAAATAAACTTAAACTGAATTTTCCTCTTACGACCTCGGCCTCAAAAGCGCGAATCTCTGAGGCTCCTCAGATCCCCAAGTAAAGGTTGCCGGCGTCTCCACAGGCGCCTGTGGTTTCCACAGCCACGTGCACGCGAATCTGACGAGGCGCTCCTTCTCTTCACATTGAACATGCGATGATGTGTTTGAGCAATGGTGATAAAATTAAAATAATCAAATTATTTGGTTGTACCGCGTTGGCAGTGGTGCACCAAGCACAAATAACAAAACGCACTGAACACGTTCGTCAATAACACTATGGCCTTAGCAGGAAAGTGATTAATTGGTGACGTTTCAGGCAATGGCGCTTCTTCATAGCACATAGACACAGAGGCCGGTAGAGAGACGGTGGATAACAGTTTGGAGACTGCACTCGTTCACATCATGCGCCTGATGGGAAATATATTTAAACAGTTTCTAGATGACCAGTGTTTTAAATTGGCATATGAATAGTTACCTAATAGGAGTTCGTGAGGAACAGACACAGACCCTTCAATATTCCAAGAGGATGGCATGAACTAATTCATATAAAAATTATAAGATGTTGCTGGAACATTGCATTCTGAGATTTTCTTTTCTGACGTGAATGCACAATCCACTTCGTGATGCAACAATTCAAATAACGATTGATTCCAGTAAAGAAGGGTACGTACAGACACTTACCAAGAAATAGATCCCAGCAATACCCCTTCCAGCAGGGTCTGCGGATACACGAAATGTGGAATTGGTTGACAGACGTTTGAAATGTCCACAAGTGGCAATCACATCGCGATTGACAGAGCCGCCCATTGACAGAGCCGCCCATTGACAGAGCCGCCCATTGACAGAGCCGCCCATTGACAGAGCCGCCCATTGACAGAGCCGCCCATTGACAGAGCCGCCCATGGGTTCCCTTCATATTGGGCCGCGTGCGGCTGCGAGCTCTGCCTGGCGGGGGGGGGGGGGGGAGAACGACTCACGGGGGGGGGGGGAGAACGACTCATGGTGGAGGGGGGTGGAGAACGACTCACGGGGGGGGGACGACTCACGGGGGGGGGGGTGGAGAACGACTCACGGGGGGGGGGGAGAACGACTCACGAGGGGGGGGGTGGAGAACGACTCACGGGGGGGGGGAGAACGACTCACGGGGGGGGGGTGGAGAACGACTCACGGGGGGGGTGGAGAACGACTCACGGGGGGGACGAGCTGCGTGGGGGGGGGGGACCTTGCTTCAGGAGTGATGAGGCAAGAGACAGACAAATGTTGGGGCCCCGACTGACCGATTGCCGCACGCCCTGAGCTGAAAATGTCGTTACTACGTCACTGATAAAATCGTTACGTCACTGATAATGTAGTTACTACGTCACTGATACTATCGTTACGTCACTGATAATATAGTTACTACGTCACTGATAATGTAGTTACTACGTCACTGATAATGTTACTACAACACTGATAATGTAGTTACTACATCACTGATGATGTAGTTACTACGTCACTGATAATTTCGTTACGTCACTGATAATGTAGTTACGTCACTGATAATGTAGTTACTACGTCACTGATAATGTAGTTACTACACCACTGGTAATGTAGTTACTACACCACTGATAATGTAGTTACTACAACACTGATAATGTAGTTACTACACCACTGATAATTTAGTTACTACGTCACTGATAATGTAGTTACTACAACACTGATAATGTAATTACTACGCCACTGATAATGTAGTTACTACGCCACTGATAGTGTAGTTACTACACCACTGATAATGTAGTTACTACAACACTGATAATATAGTTACTACACCACTGATAATTCAGTTACTACACCACTGATAATGTAGTTACTACACCACTGATAATGTAGTTACTACACCACTGATAATGTAGTTACTACAACACTGATAATATAGTTACTACGCCACTGATAATGTAATCACTACACCACTGATAATGTAGTTACTACACCACTGATAATGTAGTTACTACAAAACTGATAATATAGCTACTACACCACTGATAATGTAGTTACTACACCACTGATAATGTAGTTACTACAACACTGATAATATAGTTACTACGCCACTGATAATGTAGTCACTACACCACTGATAATTTAGTTACTACGTCACTGAAAATGTAGTTACTACAACACTGATAATGTAATTACTACGCCACTGATAATGTAGTTACTACGCCACTGATAATGTAGTTACTACAACACTGATAATGTAGTCACTACAACACTGATAATGCAGTTACTACAATACTGGTAATGTAGTTACTACAACACTGATAATGTAGTTACTACACCACTGATAATGTAGTTACTACAACACTGATAATGTAGTTACTACAACACTGATAATGTAGTTACTACAACACTGATAATGTAGTTACTACACCACTGATAATGTAGTTACTACAACACTGATAATGTAGTTACTACAATACTGATAATTTAGTTACTGCACCACTGATAATGTAGTTACTACAACACTGATAATGTAGTTACTACAACACTGATAATGTAGTTCCTACAACACTGATAATTTAGTTACTACAACACTGATAATATAGTTACTACGCCACTGATAATGTAGTCACTACACCACTGGTAATGTAGCTACTACACCACTGATAATTTAGTTACTACGTCACTGAAAATGTAGTTACTACAACACTGATAATGTAATTACTACGCCACTGATAATGTAGTTACTACGCCACTGATAATGTAGTTACTACAACACTGATAATGTAGTCACTACAACACTGATAATGCAGTTACTACAATACTGGTAATGTAGTTACTACAACACTGATAATGTAGTTACTACACCACTGATAATGTAGTTACTACAACACTGATAATGTAGTTACTACAACACTGATAATGTAGTTACTACAACACTGATAATGTAGTTACTACACCACTGATAATGTAGTTACTACAACACTGATAATGTAGTTACTACAATACTGATAATTTAGTTACTGCACCACTGATAATGTAGTTACTACAACACTGATAATGTAGTTACTACAACACTGATAATGTAGTTCCTACAACACTGATAATTTAGTTACTACAACACTGATAATATAGTTACTACGCCACTGATAATGTAGTCACTACACCACTGGTAATGTAGCTACTACACCACTGATAATGTAGTTACTACAACACTGATAATGTAGTTACTACACCACTGATAATTTAATTACTACGTCACTGATAATGTAGTTACTACAACACTGATAATGTAATTACTACGCCACTGATAATGTAGTCACTACGCCACTGATAATGTAGTTACTACAACACTGATAATGTAGTTACTACAACACTGATAATGCAGTTACTACAAAACTGGTAATGTAGTTACTACACCACTGATAATGTAGTCACTACACCACTGATAATGTAGTTACTACAACACTGGTAATGTAGTTACTACACCACTGATAATTTAGTTACTACGTCACTGATAATGTAGTTACTACACCACTGATAATTTAGTTACTACGCCACTGATAATTTAGTTACTACACCACTGATAATGTAGTTACGACAACACTGATAATATAGTTACTACACCACTGATAATGTAGTCACTACACCACTGATAATGTAGTTACAACACTGATAATGTAGTTACTACAACACTGATAATATAGTTACTACACCACTGATAATTCAGTTACTACAACACTGATAATGTAGTCACTACACCACTGATTATTTAGTTACTACACCACTGATAATATAGTTACTACACCACTGATAATGTAGTTACTACAACATTGACAATTTAGTTACTACAACACTGATAATATAGTTACTACACCACTGATAATTTAGTTACTACGCCACTGATAATTTAGTTACTACAACACTGATAATGTAGTTACTACAACACTGATAATGTAGTTACTACAACACTGATAATTTAGTTACTACAACACTGATAATGTAGTTACTACACCACTGATAATGTAGTTACTACACCACTGATAATGTAGTTACTACAACACTGATAATATAGTTACTACACCACTGATAATTTAGTTACTACACCACTGATGATGTAGTTACTACCACACTGATAATGTAGTTACTACAACACTGATAATGTAGTTACTACACCACTGATAATGTAGTTACTACAACACTGATAATGTAGTTACTACAACACTGATAATTTAGTTACTACAACACTGACAATGTAGTTACTACAACACTGATAATGTAGTTACTACAACACTGATAATTTAGTTACTACAACACTGATAATTTAGTTACTACAACACTGATAATGTAGTTACTACAACACTGATAATTTAGTTACTACAACACTGATAATTTAGTTACTACAACACTGATAATGTAGTTACTACACCACTGACAATGTATTTACTACACCACTGATAATGTAGTTACTACACCACTGATAATGTAGTTACTACACCACTGATAATGTAGCTAATACAACACTGATAATGTAGTTACTACACCACTGATAATGTAGCTACTACAACACTGATAATGTAGTCACTACACCACTGATAATGTAGTTACTACACCACTGATAATGTAGTTACTACACCACTGATAATTTAATTACTACGTCACTGATAATGTAGTTACTACAACACTGATAATGTAATTACTACGCCACTGATAATGTAGTCACTACGCCACTGATAATGTAGTTACTACAACACTGATAATGTAGTTACTACAACACTGATAATGCAGTTACTACAATACTGGTAATGTAGTTACTACACCACTGATAATGTAGTCACTACACCACTGATAATGTAGTTACTACAACACTGGTAATGTAGCTACTACACCACTGATAATTTAGTTACTACGTCACTGATAATGTAGTTACTACACCACTGATAATTTAGTTACTACGCCACTGATAATTTAGTTACTACACCACTGATAATGTAGTTACAACACTGATAATATAGTTACTACACCACTGATAATGTAGTCACTACACCACTGATAATGTAGTTACTACAACACTGATAATGTAGTTACTACAACACTGATAATATAGTTACTACACCACTGATAATTCAGTTACTACAACACTGATAATGTAGTCACTACACCACTGATTATTTAGTTACTACACCACTGATAATATAGTTACTACACCACTGATAATGTAGTTACTACAACATTGACAATTTAGTTACTACAACACTGATAATATAGTTACTACACCACTGATAATTTAGTTACTACGCCACTGATAATTTAGTTACTACAACACTGATAATGTAGTTACTACAACACTGATAATGTAGTTACTACAACACTGATAATTTAGTTACTACAACACTGATAATGTAGTTACTACACCACTGATAATGTAGTTACTACACCACTGATAATGTAGTTACTACAACACTGATAATATAGTTACTACACCACTGATAATTTAGTTACTACACCACTGATAATGTAGTTACTACACCACTGATAATGTAGTTACTACAACACTGATAATGTAATCACTACACCACTGATGATGTAGTTACTACCACACTGATAATGTAGTTACTACAACACTGATAATGTAGTTACTACACCACTGATAATGTAGTTACTACAACACTGATAATGTAGTTACTACAACACTGATAATTTAGTTACTACAACACTGACAATGTAGTTACTACAACACTGATAATGTAGTTACTACAACACTGATAATTTAGTTACTACAACACTGATAATTTAGTTACTACAACACTGATAATGTAGTTACTACACCACTGATAATTTAGTCACTACACCACTGATAATGCAGTTACTACAATACTGGTAATGTAGTTACTACACCACTGATAATGTAGTCACTACACCACTGATAATGTAGTTACTACAACACTGGTAATGTAGCTACTACACCACTGATAATTTAGTTACTACGTCACTGATAATGTAGTTACTACACCACTGATAATTTAGTTACTACGCCACTGATAATTTAGTTACTACACCACTGATAATGTAGTTACAACACTGATAATATAGTTACTACACCACTGATAATGTAGTCACTACACCACTGATAATGTAGTTACTACAACACTGATAATGTAGTTACTACAACACTGATAATATAGTTACTACACCACTGATAATTCAGTTACTACAACACTGATAATGTAGTCACTACACCACTGATTATTTAGTTACTACACCACTGATAATATAGTTACTACACCACTGATAATGTAGTTACTACAACATTGACAATTTAGTTACTACAACACTGATAATATAGTTACTACACCACTGATAATTTAGTTACTACGCCACTGATAATTTAGTTACTACAACACTGATAATGTAGTTACTACAACACTGATAATGTAGTTACTACAACACTGATAATTTAGTTACTACAACACTGATAATGTAGTTACTACACCACTGATAATGTAGTTACTACACCACTGATAATGTAGTTACTACAACACTGATAATATAGTTACTACACCACTGATAATTTAGTTACTACACCACTGATAATGTAGTTACTACACCACTGATAATGTAGTTACTACAACACTGATAATGTAATCACTACACCACTGATGATGTAGTTACTACCACACTGATAATGTAGTTACTACAACACTGATAATGTAGTTACTACACCACTGATAATGTAGTTACTACAACACTGATAATGTAGTTACTACAACACTGATAATTTAGTTACTACAACACTGACAATGTAGTTACTACAACACTGATAATGTAGTTACTACAACACTGATAATTTAGTTACTACAACACTGATAATTTAGTTACTACAACACTGATAATGTAGTTACTACACCACTGATAATTTAGTCACTACACCACTGATAATGTAGTTACTACGTCACTGATAATGTAGCTACTACAACACTGATAATGTAGTTACTACAACACTGATAATGTAGTTACTACAACAATGATAATGTAGTTACTACAACACTGATAATGTAGTTACTACAACACTGATAATATAGTTACTACACCACTGATAACGTAGTTACTACGCCACTGCCCTGCAGTCGAGGCTTCCTGCTTCTCAACACTCCGTTCTAGGAGGTTTTCTGCCGGCGTTTTGCAGGATGGGGTGACGCTGCTGCTGCTGTGTAAACCCCGCCGAGTAGTTGGTCACGTGATCCTCATGGCGGTACCTCGGGGTATCAAACAACAATACAAAATGTCCGAGGCAATCAGATATTTAATTTCCGGGACACTATTTTTGCCAGGGGTGTACTTCACTCCGCGACTGGGGTACCAATCAATCCGAAATCAGTGCCACACTCCGCGATGTCGACACGCAGCGAGGACGATTCCGCCGAAACCCTGAACGCTCGCACGCACCGTAGCGGTGCATCGTGAGTACAGCTCGTCCAGATGAGTCGACTGCCGCATCGCCGACCGTCAACAGACTAAAAATGACTGCATCACGGACATTATGTGAGAGGCGGGGTACTATGGTACCCCGGGGTACTACCAACAGGTTCATTTGATGCGTAACCTCCTGCACCGCCTCCACATTCGTGCCCTAAATCACAGCCACCTCCTGTAGCACGAGCCCACGACGGTGACTTCGCCGACTACAGGGTGCACGACCACCGCCCAATTGGTAACGGGGCAGTTATCTATCCTGTGCTGGATAAGGGCCGCACCGTGTGGACCGCCGTGGTTATTTCATTTTACTTTACCACGTCGGTCAGTGCGGGTTGTTCAAGGTGGATTTTGTTTGTTCATAATTTATTTTTGTGTGAGGCCAACGTCATGATCTGGCCAAATGTGTGTCAACAAGAACCCTTCACCACCCGACACGGCCACACAAGCTTGTCACGTGGCGCACGAGCGTCTGACGTACCAATTGTCGCTGTTCCAGTTCACTCATCGGTGACCCGAAGAACAATTCTCACAACCGAGTTTAGCAACTAGATCTGACGTTTCGTTTGAAACTGCGTCAAGCATCTTCAAGTCGTGATCCAGGAAGTGAAAATGACAATTCAGGAGGTTCGACCCACGGGACAAGTGAATGGTTTGCAGTGAATGGTTTTGGACCGGGCTATAGGACCCAGTGTAAATTTCTTACGAAGAGCAGCAGAAAGATGAAGTTACAGGGAGCTTTACGACGAATCCCGCTACAGCATGACAAGCACATGAGCAGGATGAATGTAGCCGGTCTGGGGAAACAGTCACACCAGAATTGACCCTATTAATATCAATGCAATAACAACAATAACGTGTTAAATTCACATATAAGCATCATTCAAATAAATTACATCTCAAATCTCTGGAGAATTTGTAATGCACACCGTTTTGACACGGAAGCGCAGGAGCCCACACTCGAGTGTGAAGGCGGCCCAGAACAGGTGGCAACAGTTTCCCAACCTCTGCGGTCCTATGTTGGGATGTTTGGCCAACTCTGTGAATGAGTCTTTATACCGAAGTAGTCGGAGAGAAACCCATGCTGGGCGGGAGGTGGGGTGGCTATGAGTAACTCCGAATCCCCGTACAGATGGAAATGAATCTGCTTGCTGAACTGCCGTACCCTGGCAGGCCATGGGTAGGAAGCTTCATGCATCGGTGTGATCCACCAACCCACATCCATTAAACCAAGATAACTGCCGCTTTTGCGACAAAATCCACACCTTGTGTTGCATAATAATGTTGTAAAATGTAATTGGGGAATTACTTAACAATAATGCATCTACTCACATAACATGCAATTAATTCATAAATAGATATTAAAATGTTTGTGTAGAAATTAATGTAAAGGTTTTACGGTTTTTAAAAATGCTACACGATATGAAACTTACATTGAAGCATAAACGAGCCACGGATAGTTCCAGGACCAGTTCCTGAGTATTTCCCTGGAAATTGTCAACGGGAAAGTGAAGAAAGAGAGCATCTGTTGGACAAGCGATCAGTGTCCTTCCGAAGTCTCTAGAAAAGTCTGTTATGCGGAACTATTGGGTGATTGTAATAAAATTTAATGAAAAAGAACACTGCAGAACACAATATAGTGTGTTGCATTTGAATATCAGCACTTGAGCATACACTTAAACAGAATGTGCAAACATTTACAAAGTTCATATTCTTGGTTCTTTCGGTAAAGTCACGTAGAAGGGAAACAATAAAATAATCAAATATAAAACAATATAAAACATTATTATTTTTATTATTTTATTGTTTCCCTTCTACGTGACTTTACCGAAAGAACCAAGAATATGAATCCCTGCAGTCACGAAATCTTTAAATCAAAATTTACAAAGTTGTAGTTTTATATATGAAATACAGATTCCTTACCAATAAATAAACATGCAGATGATACCAATTGTGACAATCAGTTGTGCCATAAGGATGGCGTAAACCTTCCTGATGAATGCTGCCACAGAGACAAAACACACACACACATCACAGGCGCATGAGTTTCGCTATTGTTTAATAATTATTGGGGACTATATGTTTGTAAACAATGCAGATATATAAACATCACACGACTCACAAAGCGGCAACGGTTCGTATCGCAGACGACTTCCCGAGCACGTGATTCCTCTCCCCCCAACTCTCCGCATCTCCGATTAGCACGGTTGGCTCCGTACGGCGCGAAAGAAGTTCAACACAAACAAGCAGACGCAAACTGCACGGCTCCACGCGGGACTCTCGCAGAGCACTGCTGAAACCCCTTCGTGTCGGAGAATGGCACACGGAAGAGGCTATCACAGAGCTACATCTCTGCAACCTCTGGTGAACACAGCACTGGGTGGCACGTTCGCACCGGCCATGCTACACGACTGTCAAAACAATTTTAGAAAAAAATATTTTCAGAGATGGAATGTATCCCAATTAAATGCACACCCAAAATACTTTTAATTGGATGAATTTTTTTGTGTGCAGTCATTGGTGACCGGTTTAATCACAGGCGTCTGAAACGTGGAGTCGAACCCAGCCTCCCAGTGGTGGTGGCTCAGCTCACCTTTGCTTATTTGAATTGGGCGAAAATGCGCAGCTAAGTTTCACATTACAAGTTTGTCCACATCACCACGCACGTGAAATTCGTGTCTGCAGCGTGCGTGCATGCTACATATACACAGACGTCACAGGGACGCTGCAACCGCTGAAGTCGCAGTGCAATACGAACCACTTAACATTGCAATAATTTGCTCGGTCAAAATAGATTAGCGTATATTTAAAATGTTCAAGGCTTACCGTGGCGGATAGACTTCTCCGAGAAATGCATCGCCGTCTCGTTCCCTGCGCTCCCCGACTCACTCACGCGGTCATCCACCACCGACAAATTCTCGGAATTCTGCACGGGGGGTGGTGGTGGTGAGTCGTTGGAGTCGAGTCCACCCGTCGAGCGATCGTACGGAGGGGGGTAGGCAGCTGTGCTTGTCATGGGGTATGACTGTTGGTTGAAGTTGTATTGGGGATAGCCAGAGTAGGCATTTGCATTGGAGTTGTGTTCGGGATAGCCAGAGTAGGCATTTGCATTGGAGTTGTGTTCGGGATAGCCAGAGTAGGCATTTGCATTGGAGTTGTGTTCGGGATAGCCAGAGTAGGCATTGCATTGGAGTTTTTGTTCGGGATAGCCAGAGTAGGCATTTGCATTGGTGTTGTATTGGGGATAGCCAGAGTAGGCTTTTGCATTGGTGTTGTATTGGGGATAGCCAGAGTAGGCATTTGCATTGGGGTTGTTGTGCTGCATACTTTGGTTGAAGAACCTCCGGTGGCTATGACTTTATTCGTCTTCCGTGCCTACAGAGCAAGTCACGCACGACACCAGACCAGACTCAGCTGTCGGTTGATAAAGAGAATGTGAAATGTAGCCGCACACAGCTCTCTGCAATCAATTATTACATATTTATTGTTTTCGTAAAAAAAGTTCGATATTCAGTTGTATTTGTCTTGAATGGTAATTTTTAAGATAAAATATTTCTAAAAAAATCACATGTTTAAAGAACATACTGTCAATAATAATTTCATTAAGTCCACAAGAAATATGCCACTTGACATTCTACTGTGTTTTCCTGAAATCACATCGAGATTTATGAAGTAAATACACACATTTATAAATAATAACTACTTACAGACTTTAAGAGCGACCTAAATTGCATGAAGTACCACAAACAACGTGAGCAGGAAGTCGTGCATGTAGCCAGGCTTTCGCTAACCTTATTCCCATCAACACGGTCAGATATTTTCAGAAATTTATATTGAGAAACATTCACCATCTCAGATTTTCTGAAGATGTATATTCGTCGTTATATATGAACAAAACAAAAAATAATTTTCAAACGAGCTCCCTATTTGTTGTAGGGATGAGACTGGAAAACGCATCGGGTGTGCCACACCTAGGACAGTTGTTGCCGGTGGACTGAGATCAAGACGATGAAAAAGAGGAAGTTGCGAGCGGCTTTCAGTCCTTTTGTAAAAACACTCAATGATAATGATGATGATGAAAATCAACGTGACAACGTTCCTAAACATGAAAGTGGTGCTCAGCGTGCGCGTTCCCTGCTGCTAAGTGAGTCACGTGGATTAGAAACACGGACAACGACAAAGAAAATGTAACAAACTAAAAAAAACAACATTCCTCTACATCAAGACATCGGACATGCGGAGCAGGAGAGGATGACTCAAAAGCAGAACATTTTGGAAAGTGAGAAGAGACTCTGGAAGTTGGAGGGAAACAAAACTAGGAAGAGGTGGATCGGAGTGGCTCCGCAGAGGAAAGCCACCGCGAGGCCTCTGAGCGCTGGGCGCTCATTGGCGGTGGTGGCGACTCGCGCCAGAGCGGCAGCCACGGGTGTGGAGCTCCACGCGCGGAGGACGACCACGCGGGGCGAGATGGATTGTTGCATAGAGAGACCCTGAGAGATGGTGATGGTATCATACAGCAGTGGATGATGAATAGTTGATTTTATTATACACACAGCTTTTTTTTTAAATGTCATATTGGATCACACACCTTCGATATTAGGAAGCCACTGCAGCTACGCACTTTTAAATCCAGATTGAAAACGATTTTTTTTGGAACTGCTTTTTACGTTTCGTTTGTTGTCCTTCTCCCGCACCTCCGATTAACACGGTTGGTTACGTACGGTGCGAAAGAAGTTCAACACACGTACATATGTTACTCCCAAACCAATAGTGTTTGTTGGACAAGCTTTATCGATTAACATACAGGAAGAAGAACGCGTGACCCATAGCGACATAACAAAGTCTGGGTAACATCCAACAATCTACCATCAATATTCTTAGCTCTTTCGGTAAAGTCACGTTGAAGGGAAACAATAAAATATATATAAAACAATAAAAAAAATAACGTGACTTTACCGAAAGAGCTAAGAATATGAATTACTGCAGTCACGAAAGCTTTAAATCAAAATCTACCATCAATGTTACATATTCAAGTTACTACTCCTCATCATTATTATCATTATAACAATTCGAACGCCGTTGCATGAGACACAAACCTGCTGCTGTGATTGAGCGCGCCAGGACGGATTGGTACAGCTCCGCGCGCAGTTGAACTTTACCTGCCACCCGTGAAGGCAGCTGGACTTTACCACCTGCCAATGAACGCGTTCCACTTCGCGGTGTTTACTCAGCAGTCAGGGGCGACCTCAGCTCCGGCGCGTGCAGCTCACCAACAACTATGAGGCCCCCATATACAGAATCACAACTCACAAGTTTATTTCCCATTGGGTGAAGCCCCATTGAGATCAGAAGCTATTTTTAAAAAGGGCTACTCCGCCCGGCAGACAACATCAAATAATTCCACAAATTACAGATTTAAAAACACAAACTTGAAAAAAAAAGTATCTTGTAAAATTGTATTCACATTTAAAACGTTAGCGATTTTAAGAAATTCAGTTTAAATGAGGACATAGATGGCAGAAGGGAGATGTCAAGAGGCGAAACTGGGTGGTGGTTCCAAAAAGGTTGGGGCAGCAGTTAGGTTAAATGCGTTGTGAGCCAAATTGCGTGCGAAATCTGGAGAACTGTTCATAGACAATGAGACGCGCGTCGCTGATTTTGGGGGGGATTGTCCAACGGTAACAACAAGAGGTCAGACAAATAAAATCAGAGCTACGGACAATACCATTGAAATTGAGACCCTGCAATGAAAATATCTTCTCACCTCCAAGGACACTTGCCCAGCCATGGCATGAAAATATCTTCTCACCTCCAAGGACACTTGCCCAGCCATGGCATGAAAATATCTTCTCACCTCCAAGGACACTAGCCCAGCCATGGCATAGACGTCACGGTGATGCCTCCTTCACGCAGCATCTCTGCGAGTCGTAACGCAGCACGGGAAACCGAGTTCAGTTAGTTTGAGTGTACAGATTGTGTGAGTGTACAGATTGTGTAAGTGTACAGATTGTGTGTGTGTACCGAAGAAGCAACCCGATAGGATACATCACAGTCCTCAAATAACGGAATGACTGTAGATTCGATAATCTGTCTGCAGGGATTGTAATTGGAAGACGACGCCTGTCTCTGTACAAGATGCCAGGCTCACGCTTGGCTGTTGTCCCAGTGAGCCATGGCTCAAAGCCACGCGCTGAGGAGTCTGAGCCGCCTCTCAGCGTGGCCTCCGTCGTCGTCTTTGGAAGCAGCTGAGTGGCCCAGCTTGAGCTGAGCCGCGTGAGCCGCATCTGTCGGTCTGCTCGACAGTGGCGATGATCGGAAACAAAACGCCACAGCATATTTCGAAAGTAAGATGTGCCACCTTTTGTAAAAAAATCTCTCTCTACATTTTTAGTCTTACAAGGAATACATTCCACGTTGCATCGATGTGTTTGCGTCTATAAAAATGTAACAACGCCACTGACATCAGTATTAATTTAACTTGATCATATGAAAACGTGGCGTCAAACACCGTTAACATTCCACAATCGCTGTGAGTTTGGCCCCATTAATTTCATTTAGCGATCCTCTACTCCGGGATTGTATTCGCAGCACGTGTTTGTCCCTCATCCAGGATTAGCACCTCCGATTAGCACGGTGGGATACGTACACACATTAGATAAACTTACCGTCAGTGTTAGTCGCGTACTGTTGCATGCAAGATGAGGATAATGAAGGGTCGGAGAGCGAGTGGTCACTGAGGGCCTTTGTGGACTCAAGGAAGAGAGAATGCGAATGTTTGACGGTGTCTCAGGTTTACTAGCGGCACGTTGATTCAGTGGTAGCGACATGCGTGCTGATCGTGTTCACGTTGATTGAGTGGTAGCGACATTTGTGCTGATCGTGTTGACGTTGATTCAGTGGTAGCAACATACGTGCTGATCGTGTTCACGTTGATTCCGTGGTAGCAACATGCGTGCTGATCGTGTTCACGTTGATTGAGTGGTAGCAACATACGTGCTGATCGTGTTCACGTTGATTCCGTGGTAGCAACATGCGTGCTGATCGTGTTCACGTTGATTGAGTGGTAGCGACATTTGTGCTGATCGTGTTGACGTTGATTCAGTTGTAGCAACATGCGTGCTGATCGTGTCCACGTTGATTCAGTGGTAGCAACATGCGTGCTGATCGTGTTCACGTTGATTCAGTGGTAGCAACATACGTGCTGATCGTGTTCACGTTGATTCAGTGGTAGCAACATACGTGCTGATCGTGTCCACGTTGATTCAGTGGTAGCAACATACGTGCTGATCGTGTCCACGTTGATTCAGTGGTAGCAACATGCATGCTGGCAATGTTATCACACAGACCAGATGGTGCGTGTCATCGCCACGGTCCATAGCGATGTGTAGGGAGAAGTCACACGTCCCTTGTACGTGGACTAAATATCTAGCAGTGGAGAGGCCCCTGGTACGTTGACCTGAACGAATTGGACTACATCGAGATGCCAGGACGAACGTTGTCAATGTGCAAAATTTATTACCCGACAGTGAAGATACCGAGGTGGACTTGGATCAGAGGCGGAGGAGATGACAACAATTAAAAAAACGACCTTATAACTCCCTCCCTGCCCTTTTAAGGGCGTGCAATGCCACATTTAGCGTCACAGTGCAGAGTTTACAGAGAGGAAAAAAAGTATTTGATCCCTTATTCTTAGCTCTTTCGGTAAAGTCACGTTGAAAGGAAACAATAAAATAATAAAATATATTTTATTATTCAGTATTATAAAATAATAAAATATATATTTTATTGCTTTATTGTCAAATAATAAAATATATATTTTATTCTTTTATTGTTTCCCTTCAACGTGACTTTACCGAAAGAGCTAAGAATATGAATTATTGCAGTCACGAAAGCTTTAAATCAAAATATTTGATCCCTTCCTGATTTTGCACGTTTGCCCACTGACAAAGAAATGATCAGTCTATAATTTTAATGGTAGGTTTATTTGAACAGTGAAAGACAGAATAACAACAAAAA